AAGATAAGCAGAAAGTCTGCTTTGCAGTATGATTGTCTGTTAAACATTATGTTAGTGCTAAAATAATGAGAGAGAAAACCACAATTATATTCCACTTATAAATATTCATCTAATACATTCAAGTAAAATATGACACAAATAAATAAAAACCCTAACTCTATAGACTTACAGGAAAAAGAAGAAAATCACAACTAAATATCTGTTAAGGGTGTGGTAGGGATAAATAAAGTCCATTATCTACCTACATTCCTATGTACTCATTTCCTTATTTACTTCCATCCACCTGGGTTTGTTGCATGATGAGTATGCATTCACTCTCTTTCCTTTACCATCTTCATCTTTATGGTTGATGATAATCAACCTATATATTATTTATCGAGATTAAACTAAAGGCAATATTTAGAAATTTAGAATAATATTTCTAGAAAGCAGGGAGGGAGAGAGTGAAAAGTTCTGTAGTCCCTTGAAAATGTGGCTCAACCAAGATCTCATTCCTTTGGCACTATCCTGTTTGAGTTCTATTTAAAAATGGTTTACCCTAATCAGTTTTCCAAGTAGTGAAATAAAATTGTTTATAGAAGAAAAGGTCTTTTGTGAGCAAGACGCTTAAGAAGAAGCCTGTGAACAGGAGGAAGGGCAACCCCTCAGCCTGGCAGTATGTTCCAGACAATAAACTGTACACATCAACCCAGCTCACCCTGGCATTTTGTCATATCATCCATAAAGTGTAGCCCGTACATAAGGCTGGGCCAAAGGGAAGGGTAAGATGTCACTGGAAGGGCATTACTTATCCTTAAAAACCTGAAACCTCCCTTCAGAGTTAAGTTTGGGACCTGCGTTTCTAGGTCGTTTTTACCCAACCTAGAGTGCAGGGGGAACCAATGTGATGGTGGCCGAAATTTAACTTAGATGGTTGCAGTTCAGGGGTTGTATCATTTAGCTGTTTAGGAAGTTGGAGAAAATTCAAGCTTCTCTAGTATATTTTATTTAGTATATTTCAATCACAGTCAATAAGGAGAAACCTTCGGAAAATGAATTGTCTCAGAATGTGCTTGGTTTGGTTCTGATTTAAAATAGAAAAGGAATCTTGATTCAAGGAACATCTGAGGCTGCGCATCCTTAGAACACAGATCCCTCTCTTTTACCATTTTCTATATTGCTCTCCTTCACCTTCTCACTTCCCTCTCCTTATTTTCAATGCCCCCTTTTGCTCACTTTTCTTCTCTAACCTTTCCTTTCCTATCTTGCCATTCTTTCTGGCTTTTACCTTTTCCCTTCCCCCAACCATTTTATTCTTCTGTACTGATCAGGCTTTAGGCAAAAACCTTTCAGAAACATTGTTTAGTGCCTGGTTGCAAGGAAGAAGTGGCCCTCTACACCTTGCCCTCAAAAAAAGAGATTTTTAAACGAGAATGAATTCCACAATTTCTGACAATTTTGATTTGTATTTTCTAGCTACTGATTATTTCAATTCAAGTCTATTTAAAGATTCCTTCATTAACTTTGTATTTAAAATATGAACATGGCCAAATTATTGTTCTCTCTCATTCCTGAATAGAGTACATTACATCATTAGAATTCCACACACTGTATTTCTTTTCATGTGTTCTATCAAAAAAAAAAAAAAAAGAAAGAAAGAAAAAGAAAAAAGTCCCTTCTCGGATATCTCTATATTATCCTTTCATTTCCATCTTCTCAGGATTGCTCTCTGGGCTCTGAAAAGGTAAAGTTTTTAAATAGTGTAACAATATCTGCAAACTGATTTCTATCATCTAGGTGAACCAAGTTACATATTTTGTAATATTTTATTTCTTAGTTATTGGACCCAGGGTGTGTATCTCCAAAGAGTATTGCTATGCCTTTGGGTGGCAGTGTGTTTTTCTGAAAAACAGGTCATGATGAATTTGCACATAAAGAATTTCTTCCATTAGTCTCGAGTCTCAACTTATCACATTTCTATACCTTCTGAGGACATTCAGAATAAAATATCCTTGCCTTCTGCATAACGTTATTCTTTTTATAAAACCAGACTTTTGTCATAACAGAGAAGAGAGTGGGCCCATTTCTCTTGCAAGAGATTATCTCAGTGGTGATCAGGAAGCTGTTAAGAGGAAACTTTTACCCTCTTATACTAATGATAATCTTTCAAGTATTTGCTTTACATGGGCTTTTCATCTATGAAAATGCGTAGATAAAAAAGTAAATGGATCATGTAACAACAACAACAACAACAAGAAGAAAGGTCCATTTCTGCAATGGAGATCTACTGGAATGTATGTCATACTTAGCAGAAATCTATGGAAAGAAATGAAATTAAATAACTACAGAGACAGATTTATTCAACAATTTCAGTTTATAATATCCAGAAAGCATGGTGGTAATATTTTTTTTAATTCTGTAGCTGATTATGCTTTTGAAAACACCTAAAAACTGTATTTAATATTTTAAGGTGTAGTTTTCTAAAGACGGAGAGACATTCTCAAAATGTACATAAAAATATTGATGACTCTGGAGATACATGTAACAAACACATGTTAGTATATCCCTCAAGGTTTAAAGATGCACTCCAAAAAATTTAACAAAAATTAAGTTAGTATTAAAGCTTCTTCAGAACAGTCAAATTTATCAGATTTAATTGTATGTAGTACATTCCAGGATGATACATAAAATAGAAACAGAGGTAAATATTTGAGCTACTTTTTAATTTGTTTTGTCTACCATATCCTCAAAATCACTGTTTCCAGGAATCATAGATATCAGAAAAGTCATCTTTAGCAAAGATTAAAGTATATCTATTCTCTTACATTTTCTTGAGTCAAATTCTCTATTCTCATGGCACATTATATCCATTTCAATTAAAAAGAATATACTTAGACTACGTTTGGCCAACTAATATCTCTGTTCTTTAACTACATGTCTATTTTTCTTATTTTGGGGGAGTAAATAGATATTAAAAGTAGATTCTACCAAAATAGTAATGTTGCAGGTTGAATCAATGCAGTTGTTTCTGTTAATAGATCTCGCATTATCTCAATTCTTGAAAATTAGCTTTTCAACTCATTCTTAGTCTATATTACACATCCTCAAGTTTTGTGGCTCTCCAAAGTCCAGGTGTGCAGATGAGAAGTAGGTAAAATGCTTCCTGCTTACACTACATTTGATTAAAGAGTTAACATACACATTTATTTAAGAATTATTATATATAATTAAATGTAAAGGAGCAGTTCTGGGTTTGTTACTTATACTCCAAACAACAATACAACTGATCATTAAAGTGTGTGCCTGTGTGTGTGTGTGTTTAAAATTTTTAACAAACTGAAAATTATGCATAGAGCTTATAGAGGATACTCCTATTTACATGTTAAAGTATTAAAAGGGATTTCCTAAACTAGAATGAAAACAATGTTTCCTAGATGCATTATAAAATTCTGTTGATTTAGTAAGGATTGATATCATGGAGTGGGAAGTAGGGGAATCAGTTGCATGCCCATTAGTACTCTAGAAAGCCTTACTTTTTAAAAGTTATATTGCTATCTTGTTTCTTCTTTTTGTGCATTCCTTCCCTACCTACAGTCTTTGTAATTTATTTCAAATTTTATGAATTAAGAACAATTTTCTTGAAGCCACTTTAGAAGTTTAGATATGCACAAATATTATTGTAATACATCACATACCCAAGTCATGCATTCCATTTTATGACCGATACATTTTGTTCCTTAAGATTTTTTTTCTCAGAAGGTACTAAAGGAACACTAGGTGGAATTCAAACCTGAAGGAATTTGTATAGCATGTCCAAGAATGGATGTTTGAAATTGACAAGAAAGGACACCTGGTAAGGCCTCTGACGTATATTTGAGTTGTGTCTTTGACAAAGCAGTTCCCCTTAAACCTCTGAGACACTAATGGTGTTTGGCAGCCTCAAAACAGACCTATGATCCACATCCATGTGATTACGCTACCCAAAATATTGAGGAAAAGAAAAAGACTTTAAATCCATGTTATCATTCAGTTCTAAAATCAAAATTTGGAGTCTTAACCTTCTTATTTTTTGTATATATTTTCTAAGTGAAGAAGAGATGATTTTCTTAATATCACCATTTAATTGCAATTTAAATATTGCTATTAAGTAGTTTTTAACAAATGCTTCAGAGAAGATGCAGCATTAGCTATAGTTAGGAATCACAGATTCTCACCTTGGTTTCCTGTGTGACTTTAAACAATAATTTATTTCCTTGCTTCCTTTGTTTTAGTCTTAGATCAATATTTTGTTTTGGCTTTATTAGTCTCTTTAAATAAAATTGATTGATTATCTTATTCAAATGTTATTTAAATAAGTGAGTAATGTCTAGCACTATTTACTCTTATTGTTATAAATATTGTATTATTAAGTGCTTTTTTCTTTCTAAGTAGAAACCCATTAGTGTAACTAATTAATTGGTATACAAAGAAAAACATATTTTTACATAGAAAATTAGGGTTTAAGTTTAAATGCATGGTTAAAAAATATTACCATCTATCTCATTCACCTTTTATCCCAGAGTTGGTGCTAATCTAATGCAAAACAGTGGATCAATATGTAATATTCCAAAATAAATGTTTACAGCATTAGGCTCAGAGATAATCTACTTGAATTCAATGTAAACATAGCAATGCCAAATGAAGTAGATGCAGTCTTTGGGCTGGAAGGGAGAATATTATCTTCATTTTTTCTCTGGATAATCAAATCATTGCACAGAAAACATTATGACTGCCAAGTAAATAACATTTTTTATGTAATTATGAGATGTTTGTATTTGCCTTTTACTACATATAGGTATGTGCACAAAATTACCATAGTAAATTGAATTAACATTAAGCAACCTATTAAAAATAGGATTAGTCCTTAAACTACATGCTGCCATTCTTATTACTTTACCATTTAAAAGGAAAGCAAGGCTTCATTAGTAAAGATTTGATACTGTTCTCTATAAGAATAATAATAACACAATAATGCAACCCACCTCCCAATCCTGGTCTCAGACGATTGTCATAACCATCTAGGAGTCGGTCCAAAATCCTGGTGAAGACAGTGGTGTTGTCTTTAAGTTCATCTTGTAATGAGGGTTGTCCATAGCTGAAAAAAATATAAAGGCAGGTAACAATATAAATTATACAATTTTTTTTAATTAAAACCCTTTCCCAAATAAAGCCTTCCCTAGATTTTCCTATCTCCTTTTCTATTGAATTTTAATTTGAAAATTCCTTCTGGCAAAGAAAAAAAAAGCCATATTTTAATTTTTACCATTTTCTCATATTTGTTATCATGCATGATAAGCTCTTTATTCTAATATTTCTAACTATGGAAGGAAAATTACAGGAAATGAGTTCTGTCTCTGCATGTGTAAATCTCAGCATGTATACAATGCTATAATGCATGTTTTCTCTGGCCAAGAATGTTAATACACGCTAGGGAGAAAAAAAATCTGGCAAACTTCTTCCCAAATAAAAAAATATGTATTTATGAGTTATCAAATTAGTAGTTTTGCTTTCATTTAATTTAATGTGTAGCATTAGCCTAAGATTTCACCTACCAACATACACTTCCTTCATCCACTTTATATATATATGTATATATATATATATATATATATTTGTTTTTTTTATGTTCTTTTAGGATATTTAGATGAGAAAAATAGTTAAAACTTGTTTCTTAGGATAATTATAGTTTCAAATCAGTGTGCAATTTCCATTCTCCTTAAGTTTTATGAACCAATTTTTACAGTGTGTCTATTCAACCTCTAATTAATTGAATTCTTGTCATTTCAGTATTAGAAGTAAAAGATACCTTGAAAAAAATACGGTCCAATATTCTTAATTTATAGTTTACTGACCTGTAGTGTGGGATTAGCGTTTTGTTTAAGAAAACACAGCAATCTGTGAGCAGAGCTTGAACTAGAACCCTGTTTTCTTCAACTTTTAGTCTAAAAACTTTAATCCTATTCTTCTATAATTCTTCTTTCTATTTGCAGGTATAGTTTTTACCCCTTACCATTATGAGTCTTAGAGTTTCAACCACATAGTGACCACAGTTCAAATATTGTATATGTCTTATTATGAATCACATTATCATTTATGGTCATTGAATCATATTTTACGTAATGATTAGGAAGACACCTCCAAAATCCTTTGAGAGAAAAGTTTATTTTTTATCTCAGTGGATCACACTCACTGATATATTTCAAAGATAGCTCTGACCTTGAGTAAAAAAAAAAAATGAATACAGAGTGTAAACTAAGAAATGCCACAAAAATATCACTTTCATACTCTCTGTTTAATATGCTTTTGTTTCACTCTTGTGTGTTTATATTACTGATCAATGTAAAAAAATAGTAACATCTGAAACCAGGATTTACTTATTTGACAGGAACAAGAAATATAATGAAAGTATCATTTCAAAAACAAACACTATTTTTAAAAAGGTAATTACTTTTATATTGGCAAAGCTCAATGGCCATTTTTCTGATAAAATTTTAATTTAATAATTAAAGTTATTATAACTAAAAGCTATTCAGGATGTTAAATATATGAAATGCAACTCTATGGAATAATTTTCCATTCTCCTAAATTCAACATTAATACCACACAGATTGACGGTTTACTCTCCTTTGGCAAAATTAAACATCTTACTAATTTTTGAAATCAAATTTTCACTGAGCTCTGTGTCTTCCAGGATGTCTCATTAGCAGGTGATACCAGTAAAGCAAAGATAGTTGTCTAAATGCAATTATTTATAAAAACTCGTCACAAAACGAACTGCCATGCATGCATCTTTCAAGGACATAGGAAGGTCATCTTGATAAAGGTGGAAAAGAAATGCCAGTACACTTTGTAAGTTGTGAGGAGGGCCTGACCAAGTAGTCCAAGGAAGAAAGCAGCCAAATAAGAAGGGGTAAAGATGAGACGGGGCGAGTGACAGAGCACAGTTCGATTCTGGATACAATTCCTAGAATATGCAGTTGTCTATTACCTTTTCCTGCATTTTCTCTGTGTTGAAGCTTATACCAAATTCAGGAAAAGCTTTCATCCCCAGTTTTATCTTCTAAGTGTCATTTCCACCAACTGTATGCATCAGAATTCAAATGCCAAAAGAGACTTTTCTGTCCCTCCCAGAAAACTAGTTCTGCTACCCCAACTGGAATAGTGATCTTTATTTCCTGTGATTTTCTAATCAGATTATTCTTCATCTCTTCTTCTAATTTACTATGTCCAGTTATAACTGTCAGAGAATAACCCCAGGATAAAGATCAAGATTGTTTATTGCTCTTAAACACTTATGCCAATGTAAGGTTTCCTAAACTGAATATATAATTTGAAGAGAAATGTCAGTTACAGTACCTGATTTTGATTCCATATGAACCACTATATAATAAAACACTGTGCACTAACTCCATCTACAGGTCATTACAATAGTAACACTTCATATAATTTTTCAAAAGCAATGGAGAACATTTAACTCCTCAGATTAAGAGTATCTGGCAATAGTGAATCTCCTCTTCATCTGGTAGTCATTATTTACCACACACAACAGCAAAAAATAAAAACAGACAACTTCTCAATTAAAAAAATCCTCCTAAATCCATATCTTTCCAGATTATTCTTTCTCTCCGCCTTAACTTGTTAAGAGTTCACTTTCCATTACATCTTGAAGAACCTTAGGTTTTTTTAATATGTCTAAGACTTTCTTAAGGGCCATAGGAGTAGACCATGCAAGAAGTATTAAAGCAGATAAAGAAGAATCTAAAATATTTGGTCACTTATATCACTGCTACTATAATATGTTTATATGCTTGATTTGATCATTAACAGATTTTTGAGTATGGTTAAGCTTATTACTACATTTTTCTCATAACTTGTCCCCACAATAGTTACGCTTAAATAGAGAAGTTCGATTTTATGTAATGTTCTTAAATATTTGTTCGGTGTATTCTACCTCTATTGATTATACAAAGAATGGTTTCAAAACATAATATGCACACACATTTATAGAGACTTAGGACTTTCGAATTACAAATATTATTTTAAACTTTCCATTTTGATACAGTCACAAGTTACTCTATGATCTTTACATTTGGCTAGAAATTTTCTTGTTGGAAAATCAACTCATAGAGTATGCAGACATTAATTGGGGTAACTTTCTCTCTGAATTAGGAAATCACATATTTCATTCAGTTACAACTGAACAGTGAAAAGTTCAATTTAAGACTTAAATGTTGAATTAATACATTCCTTAAACAAAAACGTGTTAAGTGTATTCTAACCATCATGCAAATAAGATGGCTATTTTTTTATACTGCTCTTCTTTATTCTTAGTTGGGATTTTATTGCCATTAAGTTTTTTGAATTCCCTTAGTCATGAATTCATCCAAGGACAATTTTCTTCCCCATGAAAGAATAAATGAAAAGTTACAGAAATTCTCATGCAGATTTAAAATAAAGTGTCCCCACCTTCTTCCAGTCAATGTGCTCAGAAGGAGGGTCCAGGCCCAAAGATAGTCAGAGAGACCCGGACTTTTCTTCATCGCGGGCTTGTGCAGCTGAAAAGTAGAACAAGTAGAGATCAATGTCTCTTGCAAGAAACATCAGGTTTATAACCACTAGGGCTGACTGAGGCAGTTCAGATGAATGCTTTGAAGTCAGGAAATGACCTCACTAGGATATGACACCTCATTGGAAGCAATGGAAACCTGGACCATCCATTCTCCACTTTCCCTTCCATTTCTCCATTCAGAAATATATCAGTGTCTTAATTTCTCCTGTAAAAGAATACAAGTTGAAATGCTTTCAGGTGACAATATTGCTCAACATAAAAACTGTGAGTTTTTTTTCCCTGTAGGTTTTATATTTCCAATATAGTGTGAATTACTCTCTTCTTATTGTTTATCATTTGAAAATTTTGACCTTTCTGATTGGAGTTTCCCCGCCTGAACTGTGCATTGAAATTTTTAAGCTGGTGTCTATAACGGGGAAAGCATGTTTTGGAGCTGAGATGGGGTAGGTTAATATGCTTCAATGACTGAATTCATCTTTGAATTCTGGATGTACCTTGATTTCAGAAGCAACTGTATTTATCTTAAAAAAAATAGGAAACACACTGTTGAATGCTGAAGTCGTGCTTATATTCTCTGCCTGTGATTGCCTTGTTAAATATGCTCACTAATGCTTCTGTGAGGCTAAAGGACACACTTTACAGTCAAGCCATGTGCTGATCTCTCTCATACACACAAACCACCCTCACGTAAGTGCATACAAACATGCCCACACATATCTTTTAAGCCCTCTTATATTCTGCCAGGTTGCTGCTAGAAAATGTTTCATCTCAAGCAGATGGAAGCTGGAGTGCTTTGCTTTGCATGAATACGGGAATCTTTTTTCCCTCTTAGGTAAAGTGCAATCAATCACCATCTGATTGTTGAATTTTAGACTTGATAGTGGGATGCTGAAGGAAAGGAGGGGCATGGAAAGCTTAGAGAATTTCAAAAAAATTATGATTTACTTGTGGTGTCAATTTTTAAAAATCGGTGTACTACCTGGTTAAGGAGCAGATATGGTAACACTTTATTTAATGTGCTACAATTAATGGCAATTATAACATGAGAAATGTTAAGGGTATTTATTAGCACTTCCCTGAATCTATACTCCTTAGTACAGTCAGTGATTAATGGATTGCATGTCTTTTAAAGCATGTTTTTCATTGACCACTCTATGGTTTAATGTGGTATGCCTTTAAGTACCTCTACACAAATGCTTTCCACACTCTTGGGGATCATTTATATCAGTAAAAACCATTACAAACAGGCATGTAAGCAATGAAACATAATTAATGTGTTTAGAGTGAAATGGTCTAGATCTACAGATAAGAGCTGTGAGCTTTATAGTTTTTACTTAATTTAGTCACTGGTTTTGGCATGGATGACAAGAAATACTGGATAAATATCATTATGTTAAAATATTGCATCTAAATTGCACAGTTATAATTCATCCTTGCATTAATCTTCAACATCTGTTATGAAGGAAAAGCAACTTCTCTTACCCTCTTAATAATTATTGGTCTTTATATATAAAAAAAAAAAAGGTGATTCCTGAAGGGGTAAATGAAACAAAACAAAATCCCAAAATAAGGTACCATAGCTTTTTGTCCTCCTCTGGCATTTTAAAGAGAAAAACAAACCTATCATGGCACTTGAGTTGTTGAGTAAGAAAGTTTCTTGCAAATACAAGCATAATAGTTTAAAAGAAATGCTATGCTGCCTCCTTACCCTTTTCCACCTTCCACCTTCCCCCACCAGACACACACCCTCCAAACACCCATATCCCATGCTATCCATATTAAATGATAAGTTGAGTTTTTCATGTTCAGAACCAGAAAGACCCCTACACCAGAGGGCATTTTAGCGGCGTCCACTGGAAAGGAGAAAAGAGTCATTTTTGCAGCCAGAATGTGAGAGTGCCTTCCCTAGGTTAGAACCTTAAGACAGGCTTTCTGTCCCAGCATCTGAACTTTAGAGGATGCCCCCCAAAGCCCCTCCCCAGCTCATCCCAGCTCCCTCTTGAAAAAAAAAAAAAAAAAAAAAGGAATCAAAACAACATGTCACCACCCACCCCGCGGAATAAATTCATATCTGCCTAAGAAAGGGGGAAAGAAAAGAAGAGATACAGAGGAGGGAAAAATAATGCTTCTATATTGCTGCGGTTTTCACCCTGAAAGAAAAACCTTCGTTGTTTCTACCTGCTATGGGATCAGGCTCTTGTCCTGTTCCCTTTTTCTCTTTTTTTCTCTAGCATTCCAGTCTCTCCAGCTAGGAAAAGCCACGTTCAAAGCTCAGTGTGTAGCGGTCCGAAGCCGCACTTACCTCGGGCCCCCTCTGGGCACAGGATCGCTCAAGACCCGGGAAAAGTGTGCGAGAGAAAATCGCGGAGAGCCTGGAGCCAGCGCGAGTCCGCGAGTCCGGGCGCGCCGGGAGCAGAGGGGCGTCCTTGCTCTGCCTCTCACTCACTCGGTCTGAGCCATCATGGACTCTGCGTGCTCCTTTGCTGAAGATTTCACACCCAAATTTGCTTCCCAGTATCCGATCTGCAGCTATACAACAAAAGATTTCTCTTTACCAAGACAGTAGTAATACGTCCCAGGGCAAACCGGATGTGAAATAGGCGGTGACTTCATGCCAGAGAGATTTTATTTTAGAAAGGAAGGTGGTACCAGCCTCTGGATCTGGAGACCAATCCGCCCATTTTTTATATGCAGCACAATTTAACTTGCACCGCTCTGGCCCTAATCCCCTTCTCTCTGGCTGCGGAGTCAAATCCTTCTACAATCTGCTGCAAGCTTTCCTTTTTTTTTTTTTTTTTTTTTTTTTTTTGTGGGGGAGTAGGAATGGGGGGAGAAAAGGGTAGAAAGGGTTAGAGACCTAGGGACGCCCCTCAGAATCACACTTTCAATTCATGAACACTATTTTAAGGTGTGCCCATTAAAAAAACAACTGATCAGTGTAACTAGTCCAGCTTTGATCAAAGATTCAACCACTGCATGCATCTGAATGAATGCAGGGAGCTGCAGGGTTGCACATGTGGAGAGCCGCTGTCCTCTCGCCTGGCTCCCTCGCACGGACTCCCACACACATGTCTGAGTCCCTGTGTCTTGCGGAGTCACGAATGATGAGGGATGGCGGAGAAGAGTTCTGGCCAGTAGGGAATTGGCCCCCAGGCTTCGAGGCTTTCGCACTTTCACAGGTTGTGAGTGCTTTCCACCCCCCGCCCCCCTTCGTCAGTAGCTTAGAGGGCAGCAAGAAACGCGCTCCGGAACCGGGTTTTTAATCTCTGGAGGCAACTGTTTATGTTTTGAAGGAGAAAACACAGGCTCCTTTAAATAAGAATTGTGCTGGGTTCCCAGGACGAGGAGTATTTAACTTTAAATAAATCACTCAGATCATTTCTAGGTTTGAGAGTCATATCTCCATTTCCGGAATCATTCCCTTGCCTCGAACTCCATCATTCTCTGGATTAGGAAAAGGGGGGGGGGGGGGAGAGAAGATTAACAAAAAGATTTTAGAAGTCAGGACAAAACTGCCTTCGAGTTTTTTTTTCCCCCTGCCCTCTTCTATTACCCTCTCTGGTGACTCTCCACCCACGAATCATTATACACTTAGGGAAGGAGGGTGTGTTTCAACATCAATCTAACTAAATTTCCAAGGAACCAGGGGCAACAGTAGTTCTCTCTTCGGATTTTGTGAATGGGTGTTTGTAGCACAGAGGAGATGGGTGCTTTCTTTCTTTTCTTTCTTTTTTTTTTTTTTTTAGATGGGTGCTTTCTGAAATGGCCTGAAGCTCTGGAAACTCCCTTCAGTACTTGGGCCAGACTAGGTAGGAGGCGCTGAAAAGATAAAGTGCCTCCAGGTAATTCTTTTGTTGACTAAATTCCGAAATTTGAGCTCCCTAGTCATTTTGCCCAAGAAGACTTCTAGCAGAGGAGACTTTTTTTTTTATAGGGGCGGAGCTTGGCAAAGTAAAGAAAAACCTAAATGGCCAGTCTATACCACGCACTGTTTTTTGAGGCTATAAGCCTTCCCTGACCTTGTGCTGCAATGCAACCAGCTTAGGTGGTTAAAACTTAGAACAAGTGATCGAAAATAAACCTATCCTATTGAAAAAAACAAGGAAAATAAAATTGATGACCACATTCAGAATCGGGCTTGGTAATCATGAAATCATTTTGAAAGGGAAATGTTATTGGGAAAAGATTTTAGAAATAAATCTTCAAGGAAGAGAGATTTGAAGATCATCTTATGTTGCCTACTCTGTTCAGATAGGACAAAGGTCAATGTATTCTTAAAGATACCCAATGAGGATCATCACAGCTTCCCTATATGACATTACTCAATTTTTATTTACTTATGTACTTACACATTAATTCACTTACTTATTGAGCAGTTCTGAGAATAAAACTCACTTCAGTAAAGTTCTGAAACCCTGGGTTAACAATTAGAAAATATTGTTTTCTTACCTGACAATATAAAATGCAATTCCATAGTTTTGTTTTGATTCCACAAAGACTGATAGTCCTAGAAATGTAATCTTTTCATCTTTTTTTTCCTCCCGGTAAAACTGTCACAGCTCCTATTCTCCTCTGCAAATGGGAATAACTTTATATCCTATATCTAATACCATACAACAAATCACTCTACTCATTGTTTTTTTTTTCAATCACAGTTACTGAAACATTATCATTTGCACAATACTCTCTGAGAACAATGTCAATCACATCTTTCTTCAGATTAAATGTTATGTGACTATCCAACAGGATACAACTGCACAGCATTTCCATACATTTTAAAACAATAAATATTTATAAATAATTATTGGGTTTATCTTAAAACTATAGTGCACATATGGAAATGGCAATGTCCATACTACGATCCTCTAAGTAAAACAAAGCAGTTTTTACTAGATGATATATGTATGATTTGTTTTGGGACATATTTTTTTCTAAGATTTTATTTATCCATTTGACAGAGAGAGAGAGAGAACACAAGCAGGTGGAGCAACAGACTGAGGGAGAGGGAGAAGCAGGCTCCCCACCAAGCAGGGAGCCCGATGCGGGGCTTGATCCCAGGACCCTGGGATCATGACCTGAGCCGAAGGCAGACACTTAACTGACTGAGCCACCCAGGTGCCCCAGGACACATGTTTTTAATAAATGAATTTAATAAATAAATTGTGGCCGTTTAAAACACTGATAATTTTACTACTCCAAAAATAGCAATTGCAACTCTAAATTATCAGTGTGTTTATTATTTCCCATCAAGGTATCATTAAGATATGCATATAATACCAAGGAATAAATATAAGAAATAATATAAGAAATTAATGGCAAGGAAATAATTACTTTATGTTGTCTTGTTATATTGAATCTTTTAGATAATTGGTGACACTCTTGTTTTTTCTCCTACCTAGGGGAATAAATCCCTTCAAAGTGTGTGTGCATCTGATTGAAGTAAGTTTTTGAAATAGTAATAACCATGATATTTAATATTCTTAAAGTGTTTACTTGGTGCCAAGTAATGTGCTAACAAATTTCCATAAACCATTTATTTTAATTCACAAAACATGTCTGTGAGAGATAGTCTTAATATACGTGCTTTACAAATCATTCAATAAATTATGGATTAGAGAGAGTGAGAGATTTTCCAAAGGTCACGTAGGTAGGGAATGTTCATGCTAGAATGCAAACCCAGATCTTCTGACTTCAAAGCTTATTTTCTTAACCACCCTTCTACATTACTTTATTTCCTTAATTACTATACAGTTGTAAGTTCACGTTAAAATCTGTTTTATTCATCTTATATCTATGTTTACCATCTTCATATCAGTTACATAAAACCTACCTCTGAACATTTTTTAAAAATATTTGTTCGGGGGGTGTCTGGGTGGCTCAGTTGGCTAAGGACTGCCTTTGGCTCAGATCATGATCCTGGAGTCCTGGGATGGAGTTCCGCATCGGGCTCCCTGCTCAGCGGGGAGTCTATTTCTCCCTCTGACCCTCCTCCCTCTCATGCTCTCTATCATTCTCTCTCTCTCTCTCAATAAATAAATAAAAATCTTTAAAAAAAAATTTGTTCGGGACAAGATTCTTTCTTTTGCTGGTTTAGTGCATCAAATGGCAACACAGTGTCAGGCTTACTTACTTTAGTGTTTCAGAGGTTTCTGCTATTTTCCTTCTTACGAGGCCACTCCCTCAAAGGACCTCCAAACCATCACTGGTTGTAGGCAGAAAGGATTTGAGGTCAAACCTAGGACCACAGATCCTGGGGAGGCCTAATAGCTCTATTTCCAGTGTTGTAGTCTGGTACATTTTTGCTTTTTCTGTCAATTTTAAATGGCAGGAAGCCCTGACCTAATTGAAGAAGTGGTACTGATTCTTTTCAACAAAAATGTTTTTACTTTCTCCAACTAAATGTGAACCACATGAGAAAAAAAGTAGCAAGAGTGTTCTCATTAATTCAGTGTGGCTTTTTATCATTTACAAAATAATTTGGGGTGAGGGAGAAGAAGAAGTAAAAATAATGAGATATCAAATAAGTGTCAACTGAAATCTAGAATAAAGTGGTCTTTTTAATGTCTTTGCATGGCTTAGATATGTATGCTGAAAGTACATTTTAACATGTAGGGAACATGGTTATCAATCTGCAACAATAAATGTACAGGTTGCAGTTAAACATGATGCCACCTACATTTATTTATATATACACTTGGGTATTAAAATGGAATTTTTTTTAAGATTTTTTTTTTTTTTTGACAGAGAGCGAGAGAGGGAACACAAGCGGGGGGAGTGGGAGAGGGAGAAGCAGACTCCCGGCTGAGCAGGGAGCCCGATGTGGGGCTCCATCCCAGGACCCTAGGATCATGACCTGAGCTGAAGGCAGACGCTTAAGGACTGAGCCACCCAGACGTCCCTAAAATGGAATTTTTATACTCACTAAACTAGGCCCCCTTTTCTAATTTCCCTATTTATCATACAGACCATCTTGCTAATGAACTATATGAGCACATCCAGAGGGCTATACCTTCTATTCTAATTGGTATTGAAATAATAGCTCAGTGGGAAAAAGAACTTTGATTTAAGTAATAGAGTACTTTTTGTACCTTCACCTAGACACCTTTGTCATCTGGGTTACTTAGACAAATTCTTTTTTCCCATGCTAGAAGGCTAGTTTGACATCTTAGCATAGTGAGAGACAGGGTATGTATAATAGAAACAAAATCAACATTTTCTCATATTTGACTCATAAATGTTTGTCACTCTAAAGGGATTTAGAGATTTTCTGCCCCAACCAATTTAACAGATCAAAGTTATGTAAGGAAAAACCTGTGATCTTTGTAGTAGAACCTGGGTTAGCATGGCACACATGGATATATATCTGAAGTCATTGGTATCTAATAGCTTCATGGCCCCTGGTATATTGCTGAACTTTTCTGAACCGCATTTTCTGAAGATTTAAAATGAGGTAATGTTATGGGCACCTGGGTGGCACAGTAGGTTAAGTGACGGACTCCTGGTTTCCACTCAGGTCATGATCTCAGGGTTGTGAAATCAAGCTCCATATGGGGCTCCATGCTCAGCGCAGAGTCTGCTTCAGATTCTCTCCTTCTGCTCCTCCCACTCATGCACACTCTAAAATAAATAAATACGTCTTTTAAAAAAATAAATGAAATGAGGTAATGTTACCTCATTTGCTGATTGTGGCATTATATGGGAAAACAAATGTGAGTCACATAGTCCTCTTGCATACACCTAGGAGGTATCCAATGAATGCCACTTTCCTTCACTCTCTTTT